ATTATGTACAGACCGCCGTCATACAGCTGGAATATTGCTGAGTGCGGCGTTAAACATCAAACAAAACTTGGGGCCAATGTGAGAAGTGAAACCTGCTCCTGTGGTTTGCCCAGGGAACGCTTGAACCATTTTGACTACGACATCCCAAGTACACACTGGGAAACAGTTTGATTGAAAACATGTCGTACAAAGTGTGATTCGAGATCTGAATACTGCTTAATTCATCTGAATTCGATAACGGCGAATTCGTCACAAAAGATTGTTCAAGCGGTACAATTCATATGTATGCTCCCCATTTCCAACACATCCCATGACAACAGTTTGCGTTTAGACGGAGATCACCAGCGAATCCTGTTAGTGTCAAAAACGCCACATACCATAGAATTGGGTTTTTCAATTTAGATTAGTTTCCATCCTAATCGATATCTGATTGTATCCAGATTTTAATCTAATGATGTTGGAAAACATATCAAGAGATAATTATAAAAATGATTCAGCATCGGTTATTATTGCGTTTTGTAGGTCAGTGCCTGGAAGAATCTGCCTGAAGCACGTCACGACCCAGATACAGGTGGTGAGGTGAGGTGAAATGAGGTTTAACGTCACTTTGAGATTATTATGAAGATTACTGCACGTATATTCCGACGTGCATGCATGTGTGTGTATGTGTGCGTGCGTGCGCGCGTTTGCATGTGTGTGCGCGCGTGCGTGTGTGTGCGCGCGTGTGTGTGACGTGGAGTGTTTTTAGTTCAATGGTGGCTTCAGACAGGATTAACAACCTCCCCAGAAATCAGTGCCAGACAGAAAGTGAATGAGGTGAGTTTAACGCCGCCTTGAACAGTACTCCAGTTATATCAGCTTAATGTTGGCGGGTATGGTGTTGAAAAGTTGAAACATAAAGAGGCGAAGCGGGATTCGAACCCACGATCAAAGGCCCCAGCTGTGCAAAAGGGACGCAACTCTGCACCGTGAATTGTGGCGCTTTAGGTGACTGGGCCAAACGTGTACCCGGCTTCAAAAGGGATAATCAGTATGCCCAGAAATCAGTTCCTTACGCAGAGAAACACGACATTGAACACAAATTTAGACGCATCCTTATACCGTAAACACATGTTGGAGAAAAGGTCACCAGCCGTCGACGTTGCCGTCATTAACAATGGATCAGAGTTCATTGGAATATCTTTCTCAGCTCCCTGGGGACAATACAACCCAAGCTGCCTGTGAGGCGGTAAAAGGTCGACAGTCGCATTACCATCTCATACTACCGGGTACCCATTCACTGCTGGATGAAGAGAGAGATATGACGAACTAAGTCACTTTTCCAAGGAGACACAACATGTGCTACATGTGCTTCAGAGTTGCTAAGGACCGGATCCCTGGAAACTCTCATTAGTCAAGCCATACTGCATACAGTGCTCTGATTAATATATACTTGGTACTATCTTTAACGTATACATCTGGACATATTTAACGCATACAAACAACCAGAGATTAATACATACTTGCAACTGACACGTGAGATCTGACCAATGAAATCTGAGAAGTCAAAATACCGGTAGACGCTGCTCCCTGATTGACAATGTCAATCCCAGTAAATTCCAGTAATTCCGATGTCAAATAACGACGCAAAACGATGGTTTGAAAGCGTCCAAGAAACGTCGTTTTTCCGTCCTATGATCATATACGGAAAAAACGACGTTTTCGTGTTTGCAGTGTACCGTATGCTATAAATATATTATACATTGGATGACAACGATAACGGACGGAGGACAACCAGGACAAGACATGAGCTTATAAGAAGTTCAGTCAGGTGGGCTAAAAATGTGATTTTGGTTCCAGATATAGAATGAAAAAAATAATTTATATTTAATTAGCCAAACCGTGTTATCACAATGAACGACTCTCGTTGCAAAGCTTGTTTCTAAACGTCTGAACATGGTCTATTTGTTGTATCAAATTTGATTCAAGATCACGTTATTGCTTGCAAATCCGATTCTCATTGGACGATGTCATGCTGTGACATAATAATGTTAGTTGATATTGACAGTAATGTATATTGCGTTTTTCAAATGACCATCAGCTGATTACGCCGTTGCTCTTAAACAGTGCACTTGTGTAGCAATCCGAGTAGCACGTATTTCCATTTTTAGGTACATATTTGAACTACCGTATTCGACGTAATAAGCGCCCCGCTCTAATAAGCGCCCACGGCGATATTTTCTAATATATTGGCTAGAAAACAATCCAAATTAGCACCCCTTCCGATTGATCAATGTACTCAGGACTTATTTATTCGTGTATAATACGTATGTTATAGGCATTCATAATTATGGGAAATTAAATTCTGGAAAAAATATATCTGTCGTATATAAACAGTTCAGGCTGTCAGCATAAACCACAAAATTTACGATCTTTCAACTCTGTTAACGTTGTTTTTCACCAAAATAATATTCTTATAAGAGCCCCCTATTTCTAACTTTGAGAGCACCCTGGGCGCTTATTATGTCGAATATGGTATATATGATGAACTTGTTAGAACCATATCATGTATATATTTGCTTCAGTGTTTAATGAGGAAATATTACACATACACTAAAGGACGTATGCTGAAAACAAGGCATTCCACAGATTTCCCAAACGAGCCAAGTATGTGGGACATAATCTTAATGTCAGTGTTGATTTTGTTAATGGTTCTGTACTGCTACAGAAATGAGTGTCCAGCAAACGAAGTGCCGTATCAAATCGGCCCAGACTATCAGAGGCTATCAGAACGACAACTGCATCGAGTTATGTGCAGTGTGTTGAGGAGATCAGCAACCCTGCAGAATTCTTCGCGAGCCTGACCACCCGATCCCGTTAATTGCGCCTTACGACAAGCATAGTCGCTTTTTACGGTAAGCATTGGTTGCTGAAGATCTTCACGGGTATCAGTGTTGAGGTATTTCGGTTACATTGTTCGTAGCGATACTGTAGGTATTTGGATTACAATGTAGTCGTGTGGAGGTGCCGTCGTTCTAGATCGTTGTTCAGGTATTGTCGTCCTTATAGTGTCGTTGGCCTGTCCGTCAATCTAGAGCCATGTATAGGTATTTGAGTAATGACATCGACCTAGCTCTGTCGGTACTCGGTCTACATACCCACCCACGTCCCACCCACCTCTACCCATACTCACAATGACGTAATGCATATTGTATAAAAGGAGTGTACCCGTCATACAAAAACACCATAGTTATCAAACAGACCGAAACACGTGACGATCCGGGGTAGAACCTATGCTTGTCGAAAAAGGCGACTATGCTTGTCGTAATAGGCGACTATGCTTGTCGTAATAGGCGACTATGCTTGTTATAATAGGCGGCCATGGTCAGCCTCGCCCTTTTGCGAGGATCGATGCTCAATCACTGGATTGTCTGGTCCAGATTCGATTATTTACAGACCGCCGTCATTTAGCTGGAATATTGCTGAGTGGCGTTAAACAACAAACAAACAAACAAACAAACAGACAGACAGTATGAAAGGTATAAGCGCAACGTTGATGAAGGCATATGGCATTCGTTAAGGCATAACACTATAAGGTCAAATAGGTGCAATTTGTCGTGCATGGAAGAGCGAAACTATTCAATTTCCGTGATTGGACACTGTTAATCTATTTCTTGTGTCAATAAATAGATACCCCGTCAGTGTGTGTATATGAGCTTTTATTGCCAACGTAAACTACGTCCATGAGATCGATATATCAATCATTACACTTAGCGATGCATGTAGATTTGTTGTTATGATAAGCTTTGACGTTCTTTGCTGAATATTGATGTCAGGCGGTCTTCAATACAAAACTACTTTTCAGATAGGTAGAAGGTACCATTATACATACAGAGATACCATATCAATATTTAATGTAATGGCAGACGTAAGGAAATTAATGATATATTAAATTTGGATAATATCAAAAGAGTGAGTGAGTTGGTTTTAACGCCGCTTTTAACAGTATTCCAGTTATATCACGGCGTGTCAGCTTAATGTGGGAGGAAAGCCCGAAGTGATGCAGGTCTCAGACGTTTACCACTTCGGTGAAACCCACGAGCACGGATATGGTGCTGACAAACCTAGAAACATAATCGGGGCGAACCGGGATTCGAAACCTCAATCATAGGTTTCTGGCGACCCCAAGTGACGCAACTCTGCACAGCGAATCGCGGCGCCTTAGACGACTAGGCCTCCCGGGCCCCCAATATCAATAGAAATAATGTTTCATTTTCTCCACGGGTTAGTATCCCAGGGTCGGGTGTCATAAGTCATTAACAATCTGTCTGAATCTCGAATATCATGTTTCATTAATCTGGAATATAATTCAATATTAATCAATGTCCAAAAGTAACGGAATATGAAAAATGGCGTGGAAACGTTGAAGGTGAATATACTCACCGCCAATAGAAACGCGTTCCATAGAAACATTTTGAGAAGTATGTACGTTAAAAAGAGATGTTTCCAATGGGTATGCTATATAACAATCAGTCAAGTGTTTCCACAGCGTGTCACGATATCATGCACATGATTTCCAATGTGTACATGCTAATCCTGCACGAGACAAATGGTGCATCTCAAGTCAGGGATCTATGACGTCACATATCATGGATCTTGAGCGTCAGTTCACACCGCATAACGGTATTTTCCTTTTGGCATCTAACCAATCTAATATCTCTTGAATGTGAGTAATTCTTCAAACATTAACCAACATTTACGCTATTCGCGTGTATTTTGTCGGTAAGTATATATTAGGATCGTGTTAAGGTAATTGTATTTATTGTAGAAAAGTGAGTTCAAATAACACACATCCAGACATCATATGCCCAGATGTTTCGCAGGAGGTTATACAGATGTTGGTCAATTCTGACTTCAACTCCAAAACACAGTCATGCAAATCAGTTCATATTACATGTACAGGACATTATTTCTGTAAATATTATGAAAACAAATAGTGACGTTGACATTATAATACTTACTTGAGTTCTCTGCTCCAACCTCCTCTTCCAACATATCGCTGATTTTGTGAAACTTGGGCATAAACATATGGAAGCCGTAAGACAGCTTATAGTTCTTGCTGTAGGCGACGAACGCCGCCGCAGCTAGAAAACAGAATCTCGGAGCAACGTCAGAATGTCCTGAGCCGTCGTAGATGACCTTGACCTTTTTCCAATGAAACACGTGTAACATGTCAATAATTGACGCTGCTAAAGAATTGAAGGTCGCGCCAACACGAGTTAAGGTTGGATATTCCGCGTTTTGCTCTGATTTATTGGCGCCAAAATCGTGTGCAAACCCTCCTGGAGAAATGATGGGGATGTTCCAGTAGGGAGCGTATCTGGCAACAGGGGCTAAGCTGTAATCACATATAGGACCGACAAAAACGTCGACTTGGTGGTGCATATAGAATTCAAAAGCCTTTATAGCCGCATCCGCGGAATTGCATTTAGAATCTCCGAAACGGACGCTGAAACGTAGGCCGTGCTGCGCGTGCATATGACGTGTACGGGAAGTGACGTAATCAATCACAGGTCTGACGTGTTGTATAGAAAACATACTGGATTTGCTCGGTGCGATTACTGCAAGTTTGACATGTCTTCTTGCACAGACATACTCACAGTGCATATACACCAAAAATAAAACAAAACACGCCTTGCCCATGATGACAGTGTACTTCTTATCCATTCAAAGGTTAACCACCTTTAATGTATCGGTTGACAAAGGTTCCTTTGGAATCCTGTTCTCAATCCAAAGTTGTCGAGGACGTGAAGGACCAACGTTACTGGCCTTTTTCGAAAGTATCATATAAGGAACCGTTGACGAATTTTCAGTAGGTCTCGGTTCGAATTGTCTCGCCCAGCCAAACGCCGCGTGAAGTCAGAGTTGTTCTCCAAGCACGTCTCAGGTGCTGGGCCGTCACTAATCGTCTGACTAGTCCCTTTGGGGGATGGATCTAGACCAATATGTGTGGTGATGTCACCACCCTTTGTTCTCAGAAGAAGATGAATCCACAACACAGACGTATCAACAAGTTGTAAAACTTTCCCGTCAAATTCTATTGCACGTGCCGTTTCATTGCATTGCGGCGTGGGAATCAATTGCTAACGTGTCATTCCATGCATAGGTCGTAAAACAATAACCAATAACCAACTGGTCTCAATCCGATTTTTGTTCGTCTTAGATTATTGATTCCTCTTCGATCGAAACACGAACACTTGACAAGTTGTGAACTCCCGAATGTTGAAAGACTGAGGTGGACGTTAGACGTTGTCCGGTCCAGCGGGAATCTGTCTAGTTTGAACCAAGGATCATGTGTCGCACATCCCGGCGCTCTGAAAGGGTTGTACTCAACTTTAATATTTTCTTTTAAATCTGGTACCATTATCACAAGACATCTCACATCCTCACCACTCATGACCATGGGTACTCTACGACTCACGTTCCTGCTCACTATTATACAAACGTATTCAAGGTCCCAAGACACGCATAAAAAAGGTCTGGCTTTTGGTGTTTAAGACCAAGCGGAATAACTCATCGAAACATTGGCATTCATTTATTGAAACATGTCTCCTGTTTCTCCAGCTGATACAATAGAGCTATACACAAGAGGAAATACTTCATGAGGTTTTTGAAATATTGGTGTTTAAGACGAAGCGATATTAAACATCGAAAACATTTGCATTCATTTATTGCACCATTTCATCTGTTCCTCCAGCTAATTCAATAGAGCTGTCCACAAGGGTAAATGGTTCATGGGGATAATGAAAATATTATAGTACTGAATAATATTTATTGGTTTTCCTTCGCACGTTTTGGTAATGCATTTGAATGAGTGTGAATGATACGTCGACATTAATCCCAATTAGCATTGTTTTTTTAATCTTTTTTTCTGTTTAGAACGGGGTGGTGGGGTGGCCTAGTGATTAAAGCGTTCGCTCGTCACACCAAAAACCAAGGTTCGATTCCCTATAATGGTACAATGTATGCCTAATTCCTGTGCATCCCGCCATGATATTGCCTGACTATTGCTAAAGGTAGGTCATACCATACTCGCTCACTCACTCTCTTTATGGCACCAGTGGTCGTGTCCTATTGGCATATCTATTGAAGTTGTTGACGGAGCTAATCAAAGAATCACCCCAACCGAAACCCCTTCTGCTTTAAGAAACGGATACGAATAATCCTATCATACAATACACCTGAACACGGGGACCGGAAGCCTATTACAGCTCCAAAGTTATACGACAAATTGCCAGACGCGCTGTCGTGATACCGTATGCATACAAACTACGACGATTTCTCCAACTGTCAAAACTCCATTTAAAGCAATCTAGTTTCATTGATACTGTCTGCCACAACGTGGCAGAGACACATCTGCGAAGCAGCACTGACGGATGCTTTTCACACCATCGAGTAGGGATCCGGCACGTCGTGCCCACGATGCGATGACTGCAACGACGTTGACAGCATCTAGTAGTGCCTTGGTAGACCAATTGGCCTCAAAGAGACACTTTATGTAACAACTATCCTCCACAAGGAAAAGACTTGTAAATGACAGAACTCAATCATTCATCTTGAGGTAAACTCCACTGGGCCCCCAAATCAAATCAGGTTGGCTTATTGTTTCAAATTTTCGACGGGCTTCTAATTAATTCAGTAATGGTGATGCTGGTTTATCCGGGGTTTTTTTTAAATTTTGCATTTGATAAATTGTTTTCCCTTCAACAAAAAATGTTATTTCCAATAGAAACACAAGATCATTTATCTTCATCTTAGCGTTTATCTTCATCTTAGCATTTATCTTCCCCTCAGCGTTGATCTTCATCTTAGCATTTATCTTCCCCTCAGCGTTGATCTTCATCTTAGCATTTATCTTCATCTTAGCGTTTATCTCCCCCTTAGCATTTATCTTCATCTTAGCATTTATCTTCATATTAGCATTTATCTTCATCTTAGCATTTATCTTCATCTTAGCATTTATCTTCATCTTAGCGTTTATCTTCATCTTAGCATTTATCTTCATCTTAGCGTTTATCTCCCCCTTAGCATTTATCTTCATCTTAGCATTTATCTTCATATTAGCATTTATCTTCATCTTAGCGTTTATCTTCATCTTAGCGTTTATCTCCCCCTTAGCATTTATCTTCATCTTAGCATTTATCTTCATATTAGCATTTATCTTCATCTTAGCGTTTATCTTCATCTTAGCATTTATCTTCATCTTAGCGTTTATCTCCCCCTTAGCATTTATCTTCCCCTCAGCGTTGATCTTCATCTTAGCATTTATCTTCATCTTAGCGTTTATCTTCATCTTAGCGTTTATCTTCCCCTCAGCGTTGATCTTCATCTTAGCATTTATCTTCATCTTAGCGTTTATCTTCATCTTAGCATTTATCTTCCCCTCAGCGTTGATCTTCATCTTAGCATTTATCTTCATCTTAGCGTTTATCTCCCCCTTAGCGTATATCTTCATCTTAGCATTTATCTTCATATTAGCATTATCTTCATCTTAGCGTTTATCTTCATCTTAGCATTTATCCTCAACTTAGCGTTTATCTTCATCTTAGCATTTATCTTCATCTTAGCGTTTATCTTCATCTTAGCATTTATCTTCATCTTAGCGTTGATCTTCATCTTAGCTTTTATCTTCATCATTAGCATTTATCTTCATCTTTGCGTTTATCTTCATCTTAGCGTTGATCTTCATCATTAGCATTTATCTTCATCTTAGCATTTATCTTCATCTTAGCGTTTATCTTCATCTTAGCGTTGATCTTCATCATTAGCATTTATCTTCATCTTAGCGTTTATCTTCATCTTAGCATTTATCTTCATCATTAGCATTTATCTTCATCTTAGCGTTTATCTTCATCTTAGCATTTATCTTCATCTTAGCGTTTATCTTCATCTTAGCGTTTATCTTCATCTTAGCGTTTATCTTCATCTTAGCATTTATCTTCATCTTAGCATTTATCTTCATCATTAGCATTATCTTCATCTTAGCGTTGATCTTCATCTTAGCGCTTATCTTCATCTTAGCGCTTATCTTCATCTTAGCGTTTATCTTCATCTTAGCGCTTATCTTCATCTTAGCATTTATCTTCATCTTAGCATTTATCTTCATCTTAGCATTTATCTTCATCTTAGCGCTTATGTTCATCTTAGCGTTTATCTTCATCTAGCATTTGTCTTCATCTTAGAATTTATCTTCATCTTAGCGTTTTTCTTCATCTTAGCCTTTATCTTTATCTTAGCATTTCATAAAAGATCAACCATTGTGAAGGTGTGCCTTATAGACGCGATTAAAAATAAACGATTTATATTGAAGGATTAGTCAGTGTCCACTTGGATAGTATATGGGTAGGGGGAATGGGGTTTGAGGTTGCACTCAAGATTATTGCACTTCTATAGCGACGTGCTTGCACGTCAAATCACGACCTTTAGCTCTCCGGTCAGACGTTCTATCTACCAGGCCACAGAGGGGGTTAAGACATCATATAGAATTATTGAGGAAATAGAAGCGACAAAACCATTTCCATAATCATACGAATTGTAAGATGCCGACATTATCATATATACTCAACAACAAAAGTTCCTGTGACACCAATATTTTAGTGTATTTTTCAAACAAGTAAAGTCTGGTTTTCAGTATTGTAGTACATGTATGGAATCAAGTCACAAAATCGCAACTGCTACAGAAAAGCATCCATCCATGCACAAGTTGACTTTTATGCAAGCCCCATGCATTTCACTACCCAAGAATGGGTATACAAATATGTGCGTTAACGGGATTCCATATGCATTGTTTAGCATCGTGCTGACAACAACCACTCAGAAAAACAACAAAATAACGCAATTATTCAACATTAAGAAATGCCACGCCTGTCCGAAAATGAGCGTCTGCGAGCCATTGGTATGCTTGAAGCAGGATCGAGTCAATGTGATGTTGCAAGACAATTTAACGTCCACAGAAACACCATTTGGTGTTTATGGCAACGTTGACAACAGCCGAATGCAGTCAGAGACCATGCTCGGATTGGCAGGCCACGCGTAACCAATAATCGGCAAGACAAGTGGATTCGAACAACACACTTACGAAATCGATTCAAGCCAGCAACAATGACTGCAAGAAGCATCCCTGGCCTTCGACGAATGTCTTCACAAACCGTACGTCGTCGCCACAGATGTGCAGGGATTGTCGCCAGAAGACCCGCCAGACGTCCCATTTTGACAGGAAACCACCGTCAAGCACGTCTACAGTGGTGCAGAAAGCGTCTACGCTGGACGGCCATGCAGTGGGGACAAGTTCTATTCACTTTTCACCTCAGCCACAGCGATGGACGCATTCGAGTGTATCGACGTCGAGGTGAACGCTACGTCAATCATTGTGTCATGGAAGAAGATCGGTTCGGGGGCGGCAGCGTTTTGATATGGGGTGGAATTACAGCAAGACAGAGGACCCGTATGATAGTGGTAGAGGGAAATCTCAATGGACAGCGCTACCGCGACGAGATCATCGGCCCTGTTGTTCTACCGTTTTTGCGTCGTCATGGCCCAGGCATTACCTTTCAACGCCCTTTCAACGCCCGGCCTCATATTGCTCGACTTGTTCAGGATTCTCTTCAACAAAACAACGTGAATGTCATCCCCTGGCCGGCTCACTCCCCTGATTTCTCACCAATCGAGCACATGTGGGATAAGATGGATCGCCGCCTTCGACGTCGTGTTCCACAGACACTCCAGGAACTTCGAAACATGCTCCAGCAGATATGGACAGATATCCCACAGGACTTTGCGCGACGCCTGGTCCATTCCATGAGACGAAGATGTGTTGCTTGCAACGCAACCAGAGGTGGACACACACGCTATTGATTTGTAAATTGACATTTTGGTATGTACATGTTTTTTTTTAATGAAATCACGCATTTTCTGAAATCAGTATGGCAAATTTAACCATTTGAACACTTACAGGAGTCTATTATCTGTTGCAAACCGAAATTGTTTCAGATTTGATAAAAAAACATAACTTTGTATTAAAACTTATTCAATGTCACAGGAACTTTTGTTGTTCAGTATAGTAAGCATGTCTTTATGACTCACTCTCAACGTGCGGACGCCCTTGCCAACACGTGACTAAGTTAATAACGTCAGCAATAGTTTAATAAACTATTTTCGCTGGGCGACAGAACACTTCTTTCTCATTGTTTAAAAGGTCATGACTGATATCAAATAATTATGATTGCTTTGGACGAAATCATGCTTGATCTGAACATTATATGATGTGTAGATGTAGCCAACATTTATTCCTAATGTCTGTTTAAATCTTTATATT